ATCCAAGTTTGTTTCATTTACTCTATGTTTTTAATTTTTTTTATGGTGGCTTTAATCTTAGGAAAGTACTTTCTCTTGAACTGTACTACGTCTGGTTCTCTCCCATTCTTTGGTGAAGCATTTCATTTTTCCACAGTGTGTGCCGGGGTGGGGGGGTGTTAATGATAGCTTAGTGGAGCAGAGGTTTTGTTTCCCGCCAGCTTTAACAGCACCATGTGGGCGACTGCAGAGCACAGGAGTAGCTTAGCAGCTTTTGTTGTGCTGAAACTGAAACCGCTCCTTAGTAACTATTCCAGGCATCTGGAGTTTTATCTGGAGGGAGGGAATTTTGTATGCCAAGAGGTCACAAGGTACTGTACTCACTTCTTTCTGTTCCTTTGCTTGTGTTTCTCCAGTTCCGTTTTATTGCTCGCAGAGAATTGGAAGCATTAGCAATGCAAACATCTGGCATGTTTTGAATTCTAGTGTTTCTGCAATAGAGAGAGAGCAGGTTACTGCTATCTTTGTCATTTAGCATTCTCCCCTCACCATGACAAATTGTTCACTGGAAACCCAAAATAATGCTTTGGGCTAATCTTGTGGCTTGAAGGGTGTGTGTAGTTTAATACAGACAGACATCTGCGATATTAATGGAAGCAGCAATCTAAACTGTAAGATCCTCTCTAAAGGGAATAGCATCTCTAAGGGATGTGGCTTCATCCCAGAGAAAGGATGAAATGATTAGTGCATTTACAAGGAGGCTGCATGGCTGCTTCCTGTGGTTTTGGCTCCACACTTGGGGCGCTTCTGGAAATGTGGAAAACATCATCCTGTGCTGTTAGCGGGATCACAAGGGTGCATATTTCATACACTAAGAACTGTGTGTCTAGGCTTGACCCACACTTAGTATCAGTGGTGCTGTCAGGGCTGCACTTTGGGGCAGATGCACAAGGCCCCCTCTCAGCTGAATGAGTGGGGGTTCCCAGATGAAGCAGGACTGGCTTGGTACATAGTGAATTAATATATTCAATATATATCCTCATCTGAATTGCCTGTCCAAAAGAAGACAGATCTGTCTAATCCAGCATACTGCTTCTGATGGTAGTTGGACACCTCCAGGAGTTCACAAGCAGGACACTGTGTTTCTCCCTTCACTCTCCTTGGTTTGCCTGCAATGTCTGGTATTGAAGTGGTATAGTACCTCTATACATGAAGCTTTACATCAGCTTTTACCAATCTGGGCCCAGGTGTTCTGCAACTCCCAGCATTCCTGACCATTAGCCTTGCTCTCTGGGGCTGATGGGTGTTGCTGTCCCAAACATTTGGAAAGCTACTAGGCATGGAATAACTAGCCAACATAACAGTTGATTGATAGCTCCTCCAGGAATTTGACTAGTTGTTTTTGAAGTATCTGAGCCAGTGGCTATTATCATATCTTGTGTTAGTAAATTTTAAAAGTTAAGTATGTCTTCCAGAAAAGGGGGCTTCCTTCCTGCCCCTACTTCTCCTGTTCTAACTGGAAGTCAATGTCATTGCGGTGAACTAGATGGCTGGTTCGTAGTGCTGCAAGAGAGGGAGCAGGCTTTTCTCTATCTACTTTCACCCCATTGTCCATCATTTTTTGAACTTTTGTCTTGCTTCCTCATAGTCATCTTTTTCTGAACTAAGAAGCTTCAAACACAGTGGCCACCCCATTCATAAATGGATAAACATCCACTGTTCCTCTATTAATAGCTCTTTTTTCTAACTGAAAAGGCCCAAATCTTTAACAGTCCGAGCCCACGCAACTCGTGACCAGGATGCTGAATACAGGCAGACATCTGTGTACAGCCACCTATTGGGGATGAGCAAGCATTACTTGTTTGGGTCTGCAAAATTAGGAATAAAACCCCTTCCAAAACCTGACAAGCAACAGTACATGGCCAGTTGGCTGCATTCAGTTATCTGTGATACTGTTTGTTCGGGCTTGCTTTGACCCTTCATCAGAAAAGTGTTCCAGCCCCTGGGCAGTTTCAAGTTGCAATCCTAAATACACTTCCTTAGGAACCAGACCCATTGAACATAGTAGGATTTATTCCTGGGTAAACATGAATATGATTGCATGGTTAGTCTATTTGGGCAGGTGGACAACCAGGACATTTCAAAAGTGTGTGCTTCATCCCCAGATAGGTGATGCATCAAACAATAGCATTCATGATGATTGCTAAAAACGTGTTCAAAATGTCTGTGGATGAACAGACATTTTGATAGTGGTTGACTCAGCAGTCAGCAAAGCAGGATATCTCACCACTCACTGACAGCATTGAAGGAAATGGTTCTTTATTTGTCTCTCATTATCAAAGAATTAAATCAGGCTGAGCAAGGTCTGGTGGCAGCAGGGGAGGGAGACAGCACTGTAAATCAGGGCCAGCTCTTTAGTTTTGTTCTTTTGTGTGTTGGCAAGTGATTTCTGGCTTAACCCACATAAGAATCTACATTCCAAAGGCTTATCTCAGATTCTTCACTGGAAAAAAAAACCAAAGTTGTCTTTGAAGAAGATCATTATCAGGTTCTGATGTTGCAGTGTGTGGGATTTGTGCCACATACTCAGTTGCTTAATAAGTATAGAAGTAAATGTTTCCATGTCTTTTCAGAATCTTTGCACATGAATCCTAAGAGGAGGAAGTAATTCCTATGATATATTTAAAAAACACCAGAAGAGCCATGTCATCCTCTTTTGCACAGCAACAACCAGAAGGCCACAAACAGGACATGGGGCCAATAGATCTCTCCTGACCTTTTTGCATTTCTGTGGTGTTGGACATTGCATTCATAAGCACTGGTGTTAAAGTGTGCAATTAATCTGTTAGTCACTCAGTAGGCTAGTGTTTCTGTACCCCTAAACTAGGCTGGCTTTCAGAAGTGAAATCTGGAGTTTGCCTTAGTTTCCTAAGCACAGTGGAGCTGGTGAAACTGAGACTACACACTCTCCCTTGCTCTGAATATACCACATTCATTTCTGGGAAAGAAGGTGTGTGAAGTGCATAAACTCAATCTTGGACTTTCTAAATTGTAATCATATTAGCCACAATCCAGAAAAGCAGACCAGTGCACAGAAAATGTTTTGCATTTATCCACCTCCTTTAGGATTTAAGCACAGATACTGAAGGAAGGGGAGAATCCTCATAACCAGCACCTTGAATTGTGCATGATTCTCTTGTATTTTGCCCATACTGGCTGAATCTGGATGTCATGCTAGACCAGCCTTCCCATCCTGGTGCCTTCCAGTTGTTGGATTACAACTGCCATATAAAATTCCCATGGTGCTGGTTAATCCAATACACCTAGGATATTAGGTTGGTGATGGTTGTGTTCAGTCAAGGTTCATGAAGTAAGAATGATCTGCAGCAAGCTTGAGACGCAAACATTTCACCTGCCTCTCTTCTCCATCCCATGGCCATGAGAAGGAGTTTGGAAACTTCTGCTCTTATTTTAAAGTCACTGCAGTTTAGCATTGCATCCAAGCAGTAAATGTATTACATTTTGGCATGGTCTGAAGTTGGCTCATTCCTACTAATCATTGCTAGGTTTAGCCAGTTTGTCAGGTTCTGCCAACAAATGTAAAACAGAAATGGAAGCTGAACTGTGGTTTAGTGGAATGGCCAAACGACGTGACCAATGCCTAAGAAATAGTTGACTCCATACCTGTAGGAAAAGGGAGATTTATCCTAGCAAGTATTTATTTCCCCCTTACTCTGACTACTAGGTGATCAGCCAGAGCTACTATTCTTGACTGCCACCCTAATCCATTTAAGGGGATCTTCAACATAAGGAGGCTCCTATGTGTCTGATATGTTGGCTCAGAAACAGTGGTCACATACTGCTCATTCAAGTGCTGCTCTGTCCTCAGTGCACGGCTTTCTGTGGGATGTGGATCTGATTTCACTTCCCCATCCTCATTCCAACACACCTGGTCGTACTTTTAAAAATATATGGCTGGAACTGGAGTGCATGCTGAACAACGAGGAGGGTTGATTCATACGGAGCAGGTGAAATGTCCAAAACACCATGGAGCTGTTTTAAATTTATGGAGAACCCGGAGGGTGCTCTGCGACTTCTGCATCTCACAAAGATTGACTGTCAGCACCTGGACAAATAGCTGAACAGAGCCCAGGGTTCTGCTGCCCAGCATTTATGACTGTCCTTCCAATAAAGCAGCAACAGTAGTGAAAAAGAAAAGGAATGCTGTATTGCCACTGCAGCTCTTGTGCTGGGCTATCTATGTATGTACCTTTTAATTGCTCAAGCATGCTCCTTGTGCGTGCGGGGTGAGCAAGGTTGGGGGAGGGGATGGCTGGGCAGGGAGGGAACCGCTTGACAAGTCTATATTGTTATCTCATGTTGCCTGGAATGAATTAGGGTCACCAGAACCTCCGCCCTCAGCAGGGGCTTTCAGCGTTGCAGTGTTCAGAGCCCCAGTCAGGGGCTCCGGCACATTAGCCGGCAGGAAGTCGGAGTCCCTGTGGGAGGAAAGGGGAATTTGAGCGTCTTTCTCATTTCAGCACTCGGAGGGGAGAAAGGCTCAGTTCAGCACTTCTGACTGCGAGGCCTCCGCCTTCTCCTCCCTATTCTCTCAATTTCCCCCTCCTTTTCTGCTGGAAGACCTGGGGGTTGGGGGCCGAGAGAGCCGGAGTGCTCTGCGGATCCTTGCAGAGGCTGAAGCCGCGGCAAGGAGCAGGAACAAAGGGAAACTGTTTCTCGGAAAGGACCTGTTTTGCTCCTTTAGGGTGGGTGGGGAGAAAGTGGCGGGGAGCTTTTCACCCTCACGGCGCCCGACCTGGCTGCCGCTGTTGCTTTTTGGAGGTGTCGCCCTCCTGGCCCCCGCCTGCCCTTTCCGGGGCACTGCAGCCGTACAGCCGGATTCCAGAGCGCGCAGCCGGCGCAGGAATCGGGAGTTCTCTAAGCAAAGGAAAGCGGCCGGCTGAGGAACGGAGGCGCCTGCTGCGAATCGCGTCTCAATCGCCTTGTTTTTCCCCGTTCAGATCTTCCAATGGAGGCAGCTAGAGAATTTGTACTTCAGAGAGAAGAAGTTTTCAGTGGAAGTGCATGATCCACGCAGGTAAGATCCGATTCGCGTTTCATGCCCAGCAAAATAGTCTCCCTCTCCCCCCACCGCCCCCGTCTCTCTGGGGGAGGCTGAATCTGTTGGAATTTTTAGGAGGACACCCAAATAATATGGCAAAATCTGGATTTCATGTTGACAGTTAATAAGCTATTTAGACTGTTGTCCTTTGCCCCACCTTCAAAGAAATAAGCCATGTTGAACTCAGTAGGACTGCTTCCGAGTAGACATGTGCAAGTGACATCGTAAGCCTCCTGATCAAGGATGACCATGATGGTGCACAGCCCTCTCTTCCTGCTTTCGAAACTGAGCTAACAGCATGAGTCTGGTCATGAGCCATTGAGTTTAATGGGACTTGCATTTCCTAATGCCCTCTGGAAAGTCACTTGCAGCACAATCTGTCTACTTGGAAGTAAACCCCACTGAGCACCATAGGACTTATTCCCAACAAAGTGTGTTTCGGTTTTCAGATGCATGAGGTTGGGCATCTGTGGGTTTCTTGAAGAGGATTATAAAGTTCTATGAGCTACAGCAGCAGTTTTTGAACCCTTTTTGCTTACTAGCGTGAATCCAGAGTAATTCCTCTGAGATCTGTTTCAGCTCTAATAGTGTGATGCCCTTTACTTTTGTATTTCTCAATTTTATTTCTTATTGAATTACTGAGGAGGTGAGAATATAAAGCAAATGAGGGATTGACCCATATGTTTACTGAAAGCCATATTCTTCACTTGCCCACCTGTTGCTGTTTAAGGTGCAACCCTATACATGTTTAGTCAGAAATAAGTCCTACAACTCCATGCATCTTGCAGCTGGTATGATGGAGTTCTAGGACTTATTTTTGTCTGAACAAGCACAGGGCTTGTATATGTTGTAGCCTTTTAGCATTTCTGTTCATTTGTATTCTTTACTCCTTTAACATGAGCTTTGATTTTCCCTAACATAAGCAACTCTCCAGAGTAAGCATAATTGTATAGTGTAACAAAACTATAAATGAAGTTCATTCTATAATCACTTGTTTGATCATTGCAGCTTATGGGAGATGGACACAAAGCTTTCCTCTGTCAAGTCCAAACTGCTGTCTGTATTACACATATAAATATGTTATGCAAATTGGTTAATATACATATTATCTATACTTCTGCAAACTTGAGAATTGCAAAACAGTTTCTAGAAAAGTTGCAGATCATAGTGCACAATGTAACTGGAGTGCACTTAGTTCTGTTTTATGCCTTTAAATAAGTAGTGTTGTGCTGTTTCTTTCCTCCTGTTTGCAAATTGAGTTTCTGCTTATCAGCACAAATCACATAATCTGGCACTCTGTTTCAGCACAAAGTGAGAAATCATATGTATAGTGTGCTGTTTTGTGGTGCTAGGAATTTCTGTGCTGGTTGTCAGCTGAAAATCTTTGTCCTGTTTACTGAATGTTGACAACGTAGGTCTCGTTCCAGCTTTCAGTAGTCACATTAGACCCCTTGAGTAGAACTATGAGCAGTAATAGCTTAGGTCAGGCATATATTTTATTATATTATGGTTAATGTCCCAGTTCTTCAAAATATTAATTTTGGTCACAATTCATCAGGTTATTTTCCTTAAAAAGCCCTCTTGAAGTAGTGCAAGATCCTATAAGTTTCATTTAGGCTTACATAAGCCAATTTCCTGGTATATTGTTTTCCTTAGTAATTAGGCTTAAAAATAAGTAATATCATTGTGACCACTGTGATCACTGATCTATATGCATAATTGGGAACATACATTACTGAGATTATTTATTTAGCAAGATCACCCTCCAGGACCAGGCCTTTGGGAAATGAACCATACATATGTTTCTATAGATAGGCTAGACATGACATGGTGGGCATGTCGTGTTTTCTATGTTTCTATATCATAAATGTCTGTTTCCATATACACTCTGTTTTATTATACCACTTTTTATTATTGCATGCAGTTTTTCAGGTTACTCTGAACACCAGCAAAAATATAAACATGTTGTTGAATTTACTTATTTGTTCTGAAATTGCATAATTTTATGCATGGTAAAGACTTTGGTTGCCTGACACAAAAAGGTTGATTTTTCTTCTAAAATGCAGAACCAACTTTCATAAACTTCTGTAACCTTGTCCCTGCTGTAGAAAGTATTTAAAGGCAACCATGTTTGTTAACTTTATCCTAGGTAAATAGCCTTTAAAATTATTTAGGTGCAAAGCAGTGGTTTTGTGTAGTAAGCATCTACCATGTAAATACTTTCCTCTGAAGCTGTATAAGATTTAAAGGCGTATACCCAGCTAGATGCATCTGGGCACAGCAAAATTCTTTTTAGTATAACATGCCTAGAATAAGAATTTAAGGTATGTTCTCCCAGTGTTAATCTCCCATGACCATTGGCAGAACCACATTAAAGGGGATGGGTATGTAAGGCAGGGGAGCCTAGTTATAAAGCAGATTCTTTGGCTTGCATTCTTTTCACACAGATTCCCAGGTCATGTTTCTTCTCTTCTCTTTGATACCAATGAGAAGTTTATTTCTTTGGTCATTGGGCTACTGGCATTTTAAATTTCCCTGCAACTTGAAACATGCCGCTGGTCACAGTCGTTGTCATATGATCAGGAAAACAGCTACCAATATCAAAGCAAATTGATTGACACATAGAGCAAGGATAAAGTTGTGCATGCACACTAGAAATGAAAAACCTATAGTGGGCTCCAAATTGGTGCCCCCCAAATGTTTTGGGACTACAGTTCCCAGAATTCCTGACCATTGACCTTGCTGGCAAGGGAGCTGAAGCTGAAATCATCTGGAAGCACCAGGTTGTAGATGGCTTCCCTAGTTAGTTACTCTGTATTCCTAGCTAGAGCATGCTTATAATACTGGGTAATTTGTTCCATTCTGTTGGCCCAGAAAAGAATCTTTATACCCATTTCTGTTTTAACAGTTTAGTTTCTGTATTACTTTTTAATGATAGAAAATAGTACTTTGTTGGCTGTAAACCAGATAGCACAGAAATATAGTTGTGCTTAATCTAACAGACAAAAAAAGTTACCCATGTTCAAACTGCCAACTGAAACCTGGATCCAGAGGGAACATATTTAAGATTCTAGGCTTTTAGCCAAATGGGATGTGTTTGAAGATAAATTGCTCAATGAAGTGAAGGTGGAAGGAAGGCTGTCACAACCGCACAATATTTGTCAAGTATTGCTTTTAAGAGAATGTTTATCAGCTTATAAGAAAAGCATAGAAATAGCAGGAAACATTGAGAAGCCACTGGTCAATAAATACACATTCACAGAGTTCTAGACTCTGTAGTCTTTTCTAGCCTTACACTGTTCTGCCATTTTTTAACCAATATGCTTATGACCCAATATTTCAAGAAAGAACTATATTTTACAACAGTAACTAAGGACAGGTAGCCCTCCAGGTGTTATTGGACTGCAGTTCCTATCTGCTAAAGCCATTTTCACCAATGGCAAGGTATGATGGGAGTTTCAGTCAAACAACATCTGGAGGCCCACATCTTCCACCCCTGCATTTCAAGGGAAACACAAGGTTCACAATCTTCACACCTGCTGATTCCCTCTTGCAATGCTGCTCAAGCCTTTTTAAGTCCTCCATCCACCTAAGAAAGCCAGAACAAAGTTTGACCAGGAAGAAAATGGTCAGAGGAGTACTTGAGACAGAAATTATACAGTTTGAAACCAAGAGATAGTTAGGAATGGGTCACCTGGGAAAGTAGCATGTTGAAAGTATTAAGAAAAAATGGTACTGAAAGATTAGAAGCTGGAATAAAGTTGAGGCCAACAAGAGCCACTTAGTTGTGAGGACAGGAACTGGAATGTTGTCACAGTCAAAGGTGCTAGACACTCAGCAGCTTCCGCTGAGGTAAGCATAAAGTAAGAATAAAGAAAAATAGCTGGTTTTGATTTAGGTGACCCCAGAGAGCAAAACCAAAAATAACCACTATTTATGGTGGTAAATTGAAGTACAGATATTCCCTTTGTGTTGGGGAATGTGTGCCCTCCAAAGGATCTTGGATTGCAACACCCATCAGCCCACAGCATTGGCTATTCTGGCTAGCACTGATGGATCTTGCAGTAGACCAGCATCTGGAGGACCACTCATTCCCCATCCCTGCCTTAGAAGAATTGCTTTGCTGGATCTGACTAGTTCAGCCTCCTGTTCCTAGGAGCGTGCTACAGTAAGTTCACAGGCAGCAGGAGAGGAGAGTGATAAACATTGCCTGTGGCTGCCCTCAGCATCTGGTAACCTCAAGGCATATGGCCTCTTCACATGGAAATCCATTATCATTGCTAATGATAAGCCAAGGCTCCATCATTATGCGCTTCATTATTTCACACAAGCCTCATTTGACACAGTGCAAGTGGAGCACTGTCATTGCTGGCAATGAGAGGTGAAAGTCTAAGCAACAGTGGCCTGGCTAGTACTGGAAGTCCCATAAGCATGCAAGCAGTCTTATACCCTTCTGCACATACAGCAACAGGGATTCCTTATGCTGTCCATCCATCCATCTTGTTCATACAGGGAGGAAAATAAGCTTGCAGCAGTGTTGTAATAAGAAAGCAGCATAGTACACTGCATATACCTTGGCAGATACTAACAGAAATATTATTCAGATTAGCTTGCCAATATGTCTGGCTCATGAACCCCTCTTTTCACACTGTCTGGTTCTTCCACTTCCCTGGCTTGTACCCTTCCTGTAACCTCTACTTTACCTTTTAGCATTTTGAAAAAAAGTAACCATGTTCCCTGACATAATGTCCAGTTTTATTTGGAAAACTCTAATTCCAAGTTGTTAAATGTTCATATATGGTGTGATGCATTTAATATGGAGGGTGGGAGAGAGAACTTGAAATCATCCCAAGTGCAACACTTGGCTTTTCAAAACAGAATGACAAGTCCAGGGTGGCATTTTTATTGCAGGATCTGCAATAACAACAACAAATGTTCCCTCTTTACAATAGTCCCTGTCTCAGTTTCATTTTCATTTATCTGCTGATTCCTTGATGATTGCTAAAACTTTACTCAACTGAAAAAAAACCTGAGATGCAGACCTAGGATACAGTCCTAAGTTCATTTACTAAAGAAAATAAAGGTTTAGAAATCTTCTTTATATCACCTTTGAGTATTTATTGATCTGGCTCAGTTTGGCTAGCAGAGACTTTCCAGGTATGGTGGCCATGTATTAATCACCAAAGAAGGGAAAATGTAGCACCTAAAAAAAGAGAATAATTATTGCATATGCCAATTAGTTTGTGTAAATACAAATTTAGGATTCATTGTTATAATTTATTTGATAATACAGTACATCTCAGCATAGTGTGAAAGGCTGAGTAGAACACCTGTGCGCCTGTCTGTTCAGGTAGCAATTGTTGATGGGCAACAGTTCTTACGGCTTGCTACTTCTAAACTAGATTTTGACAGGACATCCCTTTAAAAAGAGAATACCTTTACAGGCAGGAAGTCCCATCTGGAACCTTCAAGTCCCTTCAAATAGAGAACTCTCCTCTGCAAAACAGGACATATGGGTGCTGTTAACATGGCACAGAGTGACACAGCATGAGCAGGGTGCACAAGTGACCATTTTGAATAGTCAGTTCCTGCTTGGGAGTTGTCATGTCATATGAACCCAGCATGCATGGGTTATGTGAGAGTTAAACAACCTTCACATAAACTACGCTTCTGACATCACACTGCACAACCATTCCCAAGGGGACCTGCATACGCAAACTTACCATGTGCTAACTAACCCACAGTGAAGCAGTGGGTTGGTTAGTTAACCCATGTCATCTCAATCCTTTCATGGCCACTGTGTCCCCAGGGTTTCCAGACAGTTATCCAAGTCTTTCCTGGAGATGCCAGACATGAGCCTGGGACCTTTTACATGCAAAGTATGGGCTCTCCCACTGCAGTATAATCATGCCCATTGCCCACTGTGATTTCCTACATTTTCCCAAAACTAGCCTGACAATTAGTAGGCTTTTGAAGTTACTGGAAGAGGCAGCAAATAGTTAATCATTAATTTATTACTATCTGATTTTTGCAGCCAGCAAGCAGGAAACGTGTTTGCTGGATTTTCTACCTCAGTTGTCAAAGTAGTTTGGTTGACTGTGGGTACTGTACACACTGATGTAAGGAGAGTTGCAACTTAGACTCAGGCAATCATATATTGGGCCAGCTGGGACTTGCCTTTCACTAGGTGTAAATCCTATTAAACACAGTGGGTTTTGGTTCTGAGTAAGCATGCTGAAGGTTGAACTGTTGATTGCATTGTTGGCATTCAAAATAGGATTAAACTTTAGCTAAATGGGCAACAGGACAGCCTAAACTTCAGCCTTCCAAGAGCCCTCATCCTTAGGTCACAGCAAGCAACAACACTTTTCATGTGACTTTTCAACCTACTCTGTAGAGTTTCCCTGTCAATAGTAGCCACTAGCCCTGGCATGAAAATGCTCCACACCAAGCAGGTAAAATAGAAGGAACATAGTGTGAGTCTTGTCTCGAACTAGCCAACATGTGGTGAATTTTTATTCTCTATTGATTTTTGGGTTACATTTCTGCCGTGAAGTAAACTGTTCAAATCAAAACAGATTCAAAGCGCACTGAAAGTTATATGATGCAACAAATCATATTAGCAAATACAGGTACTTGCTGTACCACTGTAATGGTACTGTAAACTGTAATACCACTGTAAACACATTATTTAAAAAATCAATATATAAATCTGTAACTAATATTAAACAAAGTAGAGGTGAAATTAACAAGAACAATAGCTTATTTAAAATAATGCAGTTTAAGAGCATTATGCGAACAAGTGGCTTTTATACAAATTTAATAAATAAAATCTTGAATTCGGACCTTTGACATTTTAAATGGCTTGGAATATTCCCTTCCTATGTAAGTTTTCCTGCTTATTAGCATATTTTGAAGAGAACCAACTGGTTTGGAACAAAATTTCTGAAAAGAGTGACAGAAATATAAAAAAAGTAGAGTAAACTAAATGTTTCTTTGAAGAAGTCTTGCACACCAATCCGTCCATGGTATTTTAGACATAGGATTGAGATGCTATAGTCCTCTTGTATTACAGAAGCAATTAAGTTCTTATGCTGTTATCCCACTAATCAAGATTAAGATGATCACTCTAAGGGTAAAGCTCCATTTCACTACTGACACCAAATGGATGCTAAATAAACACATAACACCATAATGCCTCTGGCAACTTGTGTTGAAAAGCATGGAAATATGAATCCTGGAAAGTCCAGTTACAGATGTGTTGGAACTTAAGATATCTGACTCTTTTTAACACAAGGATTCATATGATTCAAAAAGTATTACTGGCGGTTTTAAAATTATCTACATATTTAATGAATGACATGCTGTACACCACTGGTAGTGCTAGGACTATGACCAGGAGCAGTTCAATATCATGTTTGCTAGCATAGATACATATTCTAATTCCTCTTCTGGAAGGAATAAGAGACCATCTGCAGCTTCTTTTTTCTCTTAGTGTGACCTCTGCCATGTGATGGAATAAACGGTTGAGGGTGTAATGTTCACATTGTAAAGTCATTTTTCCCCTTTCCTGCTCTTCTAGGGCATCTGTAACAAGAAGGACTTTTGGACACAGTGGCATTGCTGTACACACATGGTATGCCTGTCCTGCCTTGATAAAATCCATCTGGGCTATGGCAATTAGCCAGCACCAGTTCTATTTGGACAGAAAGCAGAGCAAGGTAAGACTCCTAAGAATGGGGGGAGTAATAATACCACCCTGGAAATGCAACCCATTTTCTAAATTCATGGCATCAGTGCCATAAAATAATGAAGTGTTCTAAAAGAAATACAGTAGTACCTTGGCTCACGAACTTAATCTGTTCTACGACTCTGGTCGGAACTCAAATTGGTTGTGAGCCAAGTCAAATTTCCCCATAAGGTTCAGTGTAAATAAGGTTCATCTGTTCTGTAACTATTTTTTTAATCACAAAAATTTGAAGCAAAGTGATAAAGAACAACAAAGATCACAGCCATCTCCCCCCCCCCCCCAGCACGACCGCTGTCACGCTCGTGCAGGGAACACGGGTACGCAGGTGCGATCGTGGCCATCTCCCCCCACCCGCGAGCACAATCGCACTCGTGTTCCCTGCACAAGCGCCACCATGATCACAGCCATAGATGGGTGTGATCGCAGTCATGCTCAGGCAGGGAGGACGGGCGCGATCATGGCCATCTCCCCTCCCACCGAGCACAACCGCAATTGTGTGTGTGTTCTCTGCACGACCATGATCGCAGCCATGGACAGGGGCGATCGCAGTTGCACTTGGGCAGGAAGGATGGATGCAGTCGCAGCCATCTTCCCCACTCCCCCATGCACGACCACGATCGTGCCCATCTTCCCTGCACGAGCACAACCACTGCCATCTCCCTCTCCCCGCTCCCCAAGCACAATTGAGATCACGCCTGTGCAGGGAAGGTGGGCGCAATCATCACCTGATGCAGAGTTCGCAACCTGAGGCAAAATTTTAATGAAATTTCTGTTCACAACCCAATTTGGTCGTGAACTGAGACGTTTGTGACCCGAGGTACCACTGTATGTACAGATTATCAGAAAGCTGGAGGTTGTAGGGAGCAAAGAGCTGCTTTCTGTTAAGTCATTTCAAATGGCTTTGGACCTCTTCTGTATTTCTGCTGTTTGTAGGCAGGATTCTGTGAATTAATATGGGGATGGGAAATATCTGGGGAATCCTGTTCTTTCAGGATGTGACTGGATATGGTAACCTTGATTTTCTTGTAAACTGTCCTGAGTTACTCATCTGAGCTTCGGTATCTGTTCAGCTGATCTAGCCTCTTTCAGAAATGTTTAATTATGAATTCTAGCAATTAACGACAGCTGTAGGTCACCAAGGAGAAAAGTAACCTTTGATGCAAAACAAATAGGGGCAGTGATTGGATGACCACCCAAGGTTTTAAAAGTCATGGCTTATGAAGCCATCACTGAGCATCATGGCTACGTATTCCTCTGTTGTCCTTTCCCGCCTCCTGGCACATGCCTGCTTCAGAGCAAAGACTTGCATTAAGTCAGTGATCCCCACTATGTCTGGTTCCAGGTCCTGTGGCTTAATATCAGATAACAAACCAATAGAATAAGACATCTCTAACAAAATTTTGTGGTCTCTCCTTTTAGACCAACTGGCATTGACTAATTGGCCTACAAAGCCAGGCCAGCTGCTCTACAGAGAAGCATTCACTGGCCTGGTTACAGGTCATGATAATAAGCCAAGGTGACTTATGAACAATCAAGTCAGAGTTTGTAGCTTGGACATCACCATCTACAAGCCATGAAAGGAGGTTCCCTATTTTGTTTCGCTAGTCCAACTTGTGGGAGAAATGAATTCGGAGCATCAGGCAACGTGCAGAACTACTCCGCTCTAAAAGATGACTCAAGAATCTCCAGAGCACCCGCTCCCCCCCCACACTCACACACACTCTCGCTCTCTTACATGTGCGCGCGCGCGCGCGCGCGCGCTCTCTCTCCCTCTCTCTCTCTCTCTCTCTCTCTCTCTCTCTCTCTCTCTCTCTCTCTCACACACACACACACACACACACACACACACACACACACACACACACACTGATTTAGCATAGGGTACTCACAAATCAACATTTGTAGACCTACAAATTATATACTGTCTCTTAACAGTATGCATTCTGCTTACTATTGTCACACATCTGGGGTTCTCGGATTCCTATGCTTTGAAGACATGTACTTTTGCATGAATGCTTGCTTCCATACAAAGATTTCTAGTAAGTTTGATAAGGTTTTACAGTGGTAAATCAGACAACCAGTCAAGCAAATGACAAACCGCACCAAAACCTGCCTATGCATACTAGAAAGTCCTCTAAATACCATGAAATATTTAGCTTTGCTATTCATCTGCTTTGCTCCTGCGCTCAGGCTTCAGACTCAGGGCTGCAAACATTTACAGGATGCTTGGACATTATGCACAATTCTTATTGAATTGCTTTCCTCCTGATACTGAAAAGCATTTCTGACAGTATAATTTCTGATTAGCACAATGGATCAGTCAAAACATTACCCCTGTATTGTTTTTTTCTTGAGCGGTAGCCTCTTTCCTCTGGGTTATGATGGATTTTCTTCTGCATACATCAGGCATGTGGGGCATGGATTAAATGCCCTTGATCCATTTCAAATCATAGGTGATGAGGACTGAACTCAGATGAGCCCAAATGATGGAAGGACCATCATTTCAAATAAAAAAGAGGATATGTTCTTTTCTGGTGTTGGTTCCAATTCTCTGTCACAAAGAACTCCCCTAAAATCAGGATTGCTTCTTTTTAACCCGGTCAGTCCTGGACTTCTATCTATGTAGGCTATCCATGGGAGAAAATGGGGATTGTGTCAAGGAGCTTATTGAAGTCTCATAAGAGTAACTTACAGTATTATTTGTTTCGATTGTTCAGTATAGAGTTGAAAAACAGATTACTGATGTTTTATAGCTTTGATCTCTTTGTATCCCGTGAAAATGTTTTTAAGATAGTTTATAATCTCTGAAATTAAGCATTTAAAACAACTTTTTCTTTAAAAAAAAACCTCCCCTCACCTGTGCCGTTAGAAGCCTTTTCCCACATACATGCATTCTGAGAAATAAAGGCAGTACTGATTAGGAAAACAGTTCAGCCACCATGTAGTTTTTCCTTAGTAAGCTATTTTCTTTCTTTGGACAAAGCTCAAAAATATCAAGGTTCATAAAAATTAAGCACAGCCAACAGCTCAGCCTAGAATAGGGCTTAAAGAGCCCTTTGACTACTTGATGAGTCACTTTACTATGAAACTGGCCCTGGCAAGAATATAAAATAATTGCCCTAAAATACTGTGGAAATGAAGGGAAAGCTGAAATGAACATGGTGAATTTGCATAAGATTTATATGCTCCATGCTCCTATTGCAAATTTTTCCTAGTCCTGATCACTTCTATAGGAGTTTTCTGGATAGTCTGCAGCTGAGAAAAGTCCTAATAAAAGCTGGAAGCCATTGTTACATAGTGCATTAATCTAAAGGAAGTGATGTCCAATGTGACAAGTGCAGTATTACGAATTACAATTATCAAATTGATGCTCCTTGAGATGCAAATTCTGACCATAGTTTGGAAGTGTAGGGTGATATAATGAAATATTTTATTACCAGGGCAACTAGATAATGATTTCATGAGCTTCGAGAAAACAAACTTGAGTTAGTAAAATCAGTTATTTCATTACTGGATTCTTTTGTTTTTAAACCTTGCATGATTATTCAGATGTGATCACTGAGATCTGCTCTGCTATACTTTGTCAAGTCTTGTCATCTTTTAATCATTGTAAGCCTGCAGTTTTTAGTACCATGGCAATGCCACTTCTGCCAGCTGGATCAATGAGATTATCTTTTATCTGCTGAAGAGTTCTTGGAACTTTCCTTCCTTCCTTCCTTCCTTCCTTCCTTCCTTCCTTCCTTCCTTCCTTCCTTTCGTTCTTTCTTTTTGGAAAGGCTGTCACAGATGTGCTTACCACTTGTAACTGGAGAAAAATGTCTATGACATGATTTTTTAGTCATTGTGGCACACATTTTTCCTTTTTTTCCTAGTCCAAAATCCATGCAGCAAGAAGCCTGAGTGAGATTGCAATTGACCTAACTGAAACTGGAACTCTGAAGACCTCCAAACTAGCCAACATGGGAAGCAAAGGAAAGATTATCAGTGGCAGCAGCGGCAGCCTTTTGTCATCAGGTAGGTTTCTTTGCGATGCATAGCTGACTATTCAGTTAAAACCAGTTGAAGGTTGTGGTAATATTTACTGTATTTCCACATCTGGGTCAGAGTGTTTTGGTTCTTAGTGTACAAAATTCTGCAAAACATTGCTAGCTGGTATGTCCAATGGCCATGGTAGCTAGGGAGGATAAGAGTTGCAGTCCAACGTATCTGGGGGTCACTGCTTGGGGAATGTTGGTACAGGCTGTAGCTGTGAGGCATGAGAGAAGGCAAATTATTTAAGGTTTCACATGACATGACAGCCCACCATGGGAAACTGCGGAGCATGTGGCTACCATTTTGAGTTTGCAACCTCCATTCACAGTTGTGTGAATCTATGGTTGTTCAGTATGGGTTATGTGAGGGTGAAACAACTGAGCAAACACTGGATGTGCAAAAAACCCAGTGTAAGCTGTGGCATGTCATCTGAACCCAGTCAGTGCATGTTATTGTGCCTCAACAAAGGGTTGCAGACCCTTACTGTAGTCCAGTGGCCATTGACTTTTCTAGCCCAGAAAGCCACTCACACATAGTTCTTAGGAAGTAGGGAGGAAGTTACTCCTATGCACAGTAAAGCTTGCTGCAAGTCTTCAACCTGCCTTTCTCCATGCCTCCTAACTATCTGCATGGAAATCTAAAAACCTGGGAATTGTCACCCCATACTGTTTGTAATACTCGCAAGTCACAGGTGGAAATTTTATTCTCATTAGACTGGAAGCAGTATGCAAGCTTGAATGTCTGGGTTGACATGTTTGGTCCAACATGACTGGTGGCTCAAACTAGCTGTGAGAGCTAAATCACAGAGCCTCTACAACATTGCAGAGTATACTGAATCATCGGTACGTTTACAAATAAAAATGGCAGTGACCGTGTTTGTGCAGTCTCTCTTCAGCCAGGTTGTTTCTTAGACTAGTGATGGGTATTACCCCATCTGATAAAGTCCAGAGACAGAAGTCTCTACATTCAAAGTGAATAAATAATCTGCTTGTTGTTTTTAATGTGTTGCAAACCTGTGAGAGCAGTAGATAAGTTTGGGCCTTTTTGAGTGGACAGTTCAAATTATTCATCAAGCTACATGGCTGAGTGGTAATTGCTCCCCAGATCTCCCAAACTCGAGTTCAACACTTTAACCTCCATGCCACACCAGCCATCATAGCTGTTAGAAGTAAACTGGATGTGTGTTCTTGTTTGGCTACCTTGCACCAGTCCTGTGACTGCTTCCTTACTTACATGCCTCTCTTCTTTATCTGTCAGAAGAATAGATAGAAAGAAGGAAGAAAGCTGAGGTCAGCTTGATGGTGGTCTCAGCAGGAGATGAACTCACTTGCCAGGACAATAGATTTGTTGTTGTAACTATATAGTGAATTTAGGAATGAAATAAAATTCTGGGTAGGGTTTTAGGTTTGTTTGTTTTGACTGTTGATGTTTCCAGCCATCCCATGGAATAATTCAATACTTAATGTAGATGGGAAGAACCTGGACATAGAAAGACTTTGTTGCAATGCAACAAAGCCCCTGATTCCCTCAAGTTACCTTTCAGCTTGTGGAAATCATGTTCTGTTTGGCTTCCAGTAAGACAACCAGGCTTCAGTCCTGTTCTAAGTGTCTAGGTTCAGACAAAACAGCAAGCTGTGGTAGTTTGGAAGCACTGTTGATCTGTCATACGGTCCAAACCCAGTCATAGTATTTCACCATGGCAAGCTCAGTCTCTGGAAACCATGATAAGAAATGACCGTTTGTTTTGTGGTTTCTCATGGCCTGTCATATTGTCTGAAGCAAGTATTGTGGTTTCCACAGTCCTGGTATGCTACTACCATAGAGTCCCCTGAAAAGAACAGCAACTGCAGAAACCATTCGAGCCATCCAACCTCTTTATCCACCAGTGAGAAGGAAGCAGGCAACATAGGCAGAGAGTGATGCCCCTTGACATTCAGTTTCAGGCATGGTGACTGAGGGAATTCATGCCAACAGCAAGAGCGCTGTGCATGGAGAATGAAAACCATAACAACATGGAAATCGTTTGATCCTCTGTCTGGTAGATCATGATAAAAACCACAAAACTTGGTAACATTGCAGAGTTGCTTGTTGTCTTGCATGAACCCAGCCAACCAGTCCTTTTCACTGGGTTCCTTTATAGGACCAAGGATGTTAGTTTTCTCCTTCATCCTGGTGTTTCCAGAGCAGGTTAATGATGCTGTGGCATCCTGATCTTGTGGCATCTTTTTTTCCATCTGTGCATGTGACATTCTCCCTGTGGCTACATTGCGATATACCAGCCTCCAAGCAAGATCTGCTGCTGTAAGTGGGGGGAGAGGAAGGAGACTTGCCAGGGATGCCTCATTTTTTGAATGGCACAAGTTAAACTGTTGAAGAATACATGGCAAAAGTGTAGCATCAGCATGACCCAGAGATTTTTATTTGTTTTCAGCTGCTGAAATCCACCGTTGTCCTATCTAACTTCTCAGAGTAACAGAAACCACTCCCAGATAAAAGTCCCACTTTTTTATATGACTGGTATCATAAGCTTAGAATTAAGTACAGAGTGATGTATTTCAATGTTTACCTTGCCTGAAGGCCTGGGATACTTCACATTAAAATGTCAATAGTAACAAAGCAAAAGCCCCAGTTGAATTTCTTTTTGAACAACTCTGGCCCCTGATCCAGAAAGGAAGTGCTGTGCATGGAAACAGGTGTGTTCTAGTCCAGGTGATGCATGTGAGCATTTGGAAACATGTATGCGTCAACATTGTGCGCCTGTGTGTTTGTGTATTTTGAGAAACCTGCGAGAGTAGAAATATGCAATTCGGGATTGCCATCTCCTTCTGATTACAGAGGCAAAGTGCCCACTGGGAACACGACGGTGTTTACCATTGAAGATAAGCAAAGCTGAGTTTTATTGTTGCTTTGTTTTAAAATCCTCAGTGCCTTTATGTTGGGAAGGTTTGGCAGAAGAATCAACTTGATTTAAAATATATACATAGAAAGCCGCCTCCTCTAACATGTGAATAGAGATGCCTTCTCTCGCTTGTGCCCGAGGGCTACCACAAATAATCCAGTGTTTCTTTACAGAACGATTTGCTGGAATAGCTGTGGCTGTATATCTTCTGGTTTGGTCCTGGACTGGTGGGTTTTTGTTTGTTTGTTTTGGCATCACTTCCATTAACTGTTTAAATAAGATAAAGCAAAACCCAGGAAATGCTTGGTGCACCCTTCAGGAATTCCTGTACTTGTGGCAACATTTTTGCATTTGTGGAAGTGCATGCCAGCTGCCTTTGTTGCTGTCTTTACATGAATACATTAACTCTGCCCCCTTGGACAGAACTGGATACAATTATGGCACCCCTGTGTTTTAAAATCCATCTGCTGCCAAGTCCCTGTAAAGCAGTTGTGGGACGATTCCAAATGAAGAAGGAGGGGTGGCATACTGATCCCTTCCTCTGCTTCCTTCTTTTCGCACCTGCAATTTCTCATCTTCAGGCCATTTTTATTTTGTTTGGGCTTATTTCCAAGAAGGAAAAAAATAACGGGGGAGAATTTGCAGAGGGAATGTGGTGGTTGATGGTAAGTTCTGCACACTGCCATTTTTCCACTTGGAATTACCCAACCATTCAAGCAGTCTGCATTTTGAGGTCATCAGTCTCTTGCCATCTTCTGTCCTAGTGTTAGTTTATGTCATAGCTCAAAGTGTTGTTTTTGTCTTCAGGAACTAAGTCTTGGTCTGAGCAGAGGTGTGGGCTCATGGCTAGATTTCCAGATGATTTTAGATCTCTTTAGGTTGCCCAGAGTATAATGGCTTCAGCGAAAACAAAACAAGAAAATAGTACGTGTTATATTGATGGATGAGCTTCTCAGCCTTAGGTAGAAAAGCAAGAACCTGATCTTGTCAGAACTGCAACTTATTCATACAGAGCATCTGTGTACTTCACCATTCTTAGGTGCTTTTTACACTTGGATTTAAAAGTAAAGTGAGAATCTGCCGTAACAGTGACTGGCTTTGAAGAAGAAGCGGGGATTAAATGCAAATGATCAGCATTTCCTCTCTTCATGTTTCCTATGTTAAACATGAAGTGAGGAGTTGTACATTACTTTATGGTAAGGTATGTTTGTGTTCCATTCATAAGCTCTCCCCTGCTACCGAGCCCACATGAACAGCATGCAGTTCCAAGCCTGCCATTTCTCATCTCATGCTGGTGGGAAGTAGAAAGAGAACTTTTCTGCATTGGCTTTGGAACTCAGTTTATCCTCTTGATTCGTCACATCTTTTGTTTGGAGTGCCCGCCCCCCACAACTCCATTCAATTTGCTTAGGAGTAGTATGATTGGGTATACATATTATTTGAATGTCTCATAATGAATAAAGTAGGATTATTAGTGAGGCTTGCAGGGCATTCTTGTTGACCTAGTTTTTACTGATAATGCTATCCCAGATCAGCAACTTGCTTAACGGAGGAAGGGATCTAAGTAGAGGTTAGGGAAAAGGTGACTTTGCCTATTACTAAATGAAATAGTAAAAATATGATTCCAAAATAACTCTCGAAGGAAGAACACTGGAATGTAAACTGATCCAAGAGCATGCCAGTAAAAAGACATTAGAAAGGCTAGTTGTTCCAAAGGAATGGGTTTTAGTTTCTTTAGGTACCCATTTGCTGAGCTAGTTCACATGATCAAGCAGCCAACTATGACTTACTTAAGACATGTGGTGGCAGATGTCCTAATTGTTCAGGCTGAGGCTTGCTGTTTGAAACTCAAGGTCCATGGGTTGGTTACACAAGAGTTAAATGACCATTCCATAACCCAGCAACAGACCATGGGTTATACAAGTGTTTGGATGACAGGTTTGGACATTTTGAATATTTAAAAAAAATCCTGATTTTCTCTAATATTTAGTGCACATGCTCTTTTAATGAACACACAGTCAATATAAATAGATTCCCATACCTTTTTTGAAAGTAAGAGATATTGCAGCACTAAAATTGTAAA